TTTTTTAATGTTTTGTACCTATTTTTAAACGGCAACCTGGCGATAATATATAGACTCAATGCCTTACCCAAAATGCCCTTGTTTTTGCACTTTGACTGACAGAATTACAGTACAGATCGCGGGATAAGCATCATCGGGATTCGGGATTTTGCGGGATATCACGCGGGAGTTTGCGGGATATCACGCGGGAGACTGCGGGATATCCCGCGGGAGTTTGCGGGATATCACGCGGGAGATTGCGGGATATCCCGCGGTATTCTTTCGGGAGGCCTGTCGTGTCCCGCGTACCGCGTAGCGAAAAAACTTGGTGCGAGACCCCGAAGTCTACCGCGGCTCGGAACGGCGATGGCGGCGTGCCAAATGTTTATTTTTACGTCCTGCCGGGCGATCTGTGCTGGGCCGATGGAGTCTGACGCCAGTCAACTTTGCTACAATTTTGCTACAATTTTAATGGTGTTGAAGCATAAGAATGTACGAAAATAATGTGTATAAGGTATTTCTCACGCGGTCATAGTTATTATAAAACTGCTACTTTTTTTTCAAAGCTATTGTTCAGCGCAAACTTTAAGAAACTACCGTGAATGAATACAATGTAACGTGTACTAATCCCTCCGTCTCCGGTAAATTCGGCAAGATTGATACCAAGAAATAAAAATTATGAGGCGTACCGGCAGTAGTTTGTGGTTGTTGTGTTTCATAATCTTGTAGCTGTTGTCTTCTCATTCGTAGCTTGCGGCAAGAGGTCTCCGTATTAGTATTAAGAATTGCGACAATTAAAAGTCTGCCCATCAAAATCCCGGGGCGTGCGTCTCCCCCCTCCCCAAAAACTCTTGCATCAACAACGACCATGTCCATAATTAATTTCGATAGATTACTATCACCCTGAAAGCAAGGAGCAAGTACTTCCACACGGCTGGCAAAGTTTCTTTCGGTAGGAAAACATTCTACTTCTGTCAGCTGCGGGGTCAGCCAACTAGATGAAAACGGAGTCGATAGCGCACGTCCAAGACACGGGAGAACCCGAAAAATAAATAAACACTGGAGAACCCGAACTAAACGTGTTTATGATAAATTTTACGCAAATTATTCGTTCTCAGACCATAAAACTTGAAATTCACTCGGTACACTCTATGGAACTAGCCTCCTCACATGTGAAAAACGTTGTTTTGGGATGAAATTGGGATATAAGAAAGTTACAATGTCGCATG